CAAAAAAACGTGGGTCGGGCAGATGGGTCGGGAAATTTGATGGTGAACGTACCCACGTTTTTTGTCATCAAATGTATGTAAATAGTTATTTTCTACTTTTTAGTCCACAAGAAAAACGTGGTTTTTTAAAAAGTTTTTTTTAAGTATTTTATTAAATAATGGATTTGAATGCATCATACGTACTTCTTGCACCCATTGAATAATCTCAATTTTTAAAATATGTTATTTTATAATACAAATTATTTTCAATTTACTTTTTTAAACGTTTTGTTTTAAATGTCAATTATTTTTCATTTTAAAATAATGTTGCATTTGGAAGTTTATCAACTTTCACACATTAAATTGTACATTTAAATATTTTAACTTTTAAAACCATACCTTCCAATTATTCTTTTAAAATAAATTACTCATGCATGCCTTTATTTTAAACCTTTGTAAAATGCCAATTACATTTCTTTAATTTGTTATATTGATGTTTTAATATAATTAGAATTTTTTTTGTCTTTTAAAACGTGTTTATTTCATTTTTTTTACGTGTATCCTACTTAATAAAATGTTTCCGCAATAAAAATTACTATCACTTTTATATATGTTATGTTTTCGTTGCACTTCGGATATCTTTTTGACTTCCCTGTTATTTCAAATTAGTAGTTGTTTTTTTCTATCACATAACGCTTATTTTTTATAAGAATCCTTGTAGAAAATTTTGTCCTCAATTTGTTTATTAACTCCCTTGACAATTTTCTGAACGCATCTATTTCTTGTATCATGGTCCTTAACTTAATCCTTGTTTTCTCATATGTATATTAATTTTAGCCTAGCCCTAACCCAAGTCGCTTTTCAAGAAAAATACATGTGTAAAATCTAACCTATATAAAAAAAATATTTAGTAGTTTATTTAAAAAAGTATTTATTTATTTTAAATTCGAAAAACACCTATTTCTTCGTTTCATTGAAATAGTGTTACCTTACTAAAAACATCGACTATATTTGCTATTTTATACAGGTATACCTACAATTATTGTGCCCCTGCCCGCTGTCTACCACACTGACGACAGCCTCCAACTTCGCGGTATGATTTAAAACAGTGGGACTACTTTGGCATAATCGAGCTGACTTATTATCTGGTATAATTGACTGGGAAAACGTATGTTCGTTTTTATGGGTTCAAATAGTGGTCATTGTATTATTTGACTCTGCTTAACTGCTGTAGTGCTAGTAAGGACTAAACTGGCCAACTGATAGTTAGGAATGACCGGTGTTTGTTTAGTCTTGAGCGTGCGTAAGAACAAAGGTCCTAAATTTCTGATGGCCTATGAATAGCATTCCTTTTTACCAAGAACAGCATTCCTTTAATCCTGATATTTAAAACAAAAATTTTTCTCATTAGTCTTAATCCACCTTCCTTTCCCCCCCCCCCCCCCCTGCCCTTCCCCTGTTTGGTTAGAACCAGGATTGACTGTCTCTTTTCCTCCCCGGTGACGTAATCAACCGCCGCCCCGTGACCTGTTTTACCTGAGTGATTAGATCCACCAGCGTCTCCCCTTTCCCCCGCGGCCAAAGATAGCCATCTGAGAGGGTGGGGGGGGGGGAACCTTTGAACGTTTTGTTCGAGCCATTTTCTCCCCGGCACTAGTGGCATCGGGGGAGGCTGTATAAGTCACGTCTGTCTGTGCGTGTGTTTGTGGACATTAAGGCAGTGACTTATTGCCGTGTGACTGAAAGGTCTGACAAACTCACAAAGCCAGAATGGTAAGATGGACTTTGTAATTCCCAGACTTATTATGCTTAGAATGCCCAGACCTATTATGACTAGAATGACCAGACCTATTATGCCTAGAATGACCAGACCTATTATGCCTAGAATGATCAGACCTATTATGCCTAGAATGACCAGACCTATTATGCCTAGAATGACCAGACCTATTATGCCTAGAATGACCAGACCTATTTAGCCTGTAATGCCCAGACTTATTTAGATTAGAATGCTGTTTTACTGGTTTTATTTTGACAAGAATTTTGGTACTTTTAGCTGCATTGTACTTTTAGCTTCTGGTACTTTAGCTTCATACCTTCATTGGTAAGACGGGACTCTTAACACCCTATCCTAATTTTAATTTTCGAATGAGTTGCACATCATAGTTTTGATGGTTTGAAAACTAGCAAGTGCTAGATCTTCAATTATGAGTAAAAGACGTGTGGGGGAGGGGTAATCTTTAAAACTTACAGTTCGAATAGTCATTGAATTATGTGGTTGAAGGCAAAGAGCCCGGGGGGAGGGGGGGGGGGGGACAGATGGACCGCTCTGAATATCGGCACTTAATTTCATCGTTCTGCCCCGTGACCATGATACTTAAATGTCACCAAAAATATCTTCGCTCCCTTACCTGTGAAGCCAGTGCCGATCGTTACCTGAAAATGTCACCAACTTTTCTTCTCTTACCTTCAAGGCATTTTGGACCCGGTCCTGATTGATCTTTGGGACTTCACCCCTTCCCCC